TCAATTGACCAAAGCACCCCCTTCCATTTTATCCATTTCCAAACAACCCCACTCATGGATCACTGCATCACTATCTCCATCCTCCGTCGACGGCGTATTCTCCGCTCCGCCATCTTCACATGTCTAATTCTCTACCGCGTCCCCTCCATTTGAGGCCAATACCTCATTTCCCATCCGCGCTCGTGCGTGTCGCAGACCTTTCTCGACTCTAAACCTTACTTCAACGTACGCTTCCAGCAACCGCCGGGCACTTCCTCCGATCATGCCCTCGAAACCTATTTCTTCGTCGAATAATTCTTACCGGAATCAACTCGATGACTTGCCGATTTCGAGAAGATTCTCATTCCAACGGAGGCATCTCTCTTTGCGGCTTCGGTTCTCTCCTCTCCGGTGAGCACAAATATTGATAGTCTATAATTATCTATGATAAGTTGATCGTCTTTTGTAATTTTGAGACCAGAGAGGAGCGCCAAAATTACCTTTCCGGATCTGATAAATTTCAGAGTTGCGAGATTGAATGGATTTCGGCGTGTATTTGCACATTTTGCTCCGATTTTCTTCGAGCGTGAAATCGCTAATCCTGAAACCAAAGTGTGCATAAGCAATTCTAATAGTTTGCTTATAATCTGTTTGGTTTCCAAATTCCTAGAAAATTTAGGCAAAGAAGCATTATTTAGTAAAGACACCAAAAAATTGGATTTTTTTCATTTACTTGAATTTGACTCCCAAAGGCAAAGAAGTTGGCTTGATAGCAGTTCATTTTTATGTTGATGACGATGGTTTTCAGGAGATTTGACGCTTGAGTGTGGAGCCTTGTGAGGGAGAAACCCTCATTGTCACTGTCTTCGAGATTCAAAAATCAGAGGTATTGATAATTGATTATTCCTTTGGTTGCTGTTGCTTCACTTCAGAATTTGATTCTTTTCTGAATGAGAAAAACACCCAGAGATGTGATTTACTCATTTGAAGTTTTAACTTAAATCTATTACTCCATGAAGTCAGATACCAGCTTTCATGGAGAGAGAACTCGAGTTCCGCTTTCTAGCTGTAAGTTGCTATCAACGTTACAAAACTATCCATTTGATTCTTTTGTTGTTGTCATGGACTGACTTATTCTTTTACAGCCTGAAACGCTTCATGGAGAACCCTTTGGCCATCTTGCAGTATGTGCTTTTATCATTATTATTAATGGGTTTTACTTTGATCTCTTTCAGGTTTTGTTATGGTCATAGTTAGGGTTCTAACTTCTAAAGATTTATACCATATTGGGATTTTCATTGCTGGTGCTTTGTGCTCGGTATAGTGAAAAAGAATTTTTCCAAATCAGATGCAAAGGTAACTTTTAATAAGATTCTCATTGGTAATTGTGGATGCCCAAGATTACAAGGGAAAGGATAATGCTAGTTCTCGATGTTGCTTCATATATTTCCTAGAAGAAGGTATGCTTAATAAGATACTACTAGATTAAGGTTTCTTGAGCCAATGAAGAACTGTGCCCCATTACAGCTTTTAAACACGTATTGAGCCAAAGTGCAATGTTATGAGACCTGAAAACGATTTTCCTTGTCATCTCGTGTTCATTTCTTACATGACGCATGTATCATCATATCTCCTAGCACATACCCAGCCACTTAAGAGGCAAAGATCTTCACAAAGAAACATAACAATATGATAGAAAGATTTATCCTTGTCAGATTCTCATACCAAACTTCCTTACCATTCCTGCTAGACAAGGGTTATAGATTTGGCGATAAGATGTCTGCTTATGCCGTGTATGTTCATTTCATACAAAACATGTCATCTTAAGACGGACCAAAACATTTGTGAAACATTGCCGAGTGAGAATTGTTTTGTTCTGCTGGTTTAACTGATTCAATAAGAGAGAAAGCAGGTTCCCCATCGCCGTAGCCCCTTACGAATAAAGACACAGATACAACCTTTCATTACTGCTTGGTAGCCTCTGCCCAGAGGCATAGGCTTCCAAAAATTGACGAGCCGACACAGCCAAAGTAGAGCAGCACCAGCTCGTCCTCCTTGATTGTGTTCCTCGGGCTCTGGCACGACCCGTCGTCACTTATCGATCATTAACGAGTCATCCACACCCCTGACAGGACGAGTGGTTTGGTGATTATACACACACCCTTTATTTATGAGCTCGTCTCAACCCTTTCCTTTATCTGCTGCCGATGTGGGATTGAAACCTACTGTGCCCTAGAATTGCCACCTGAGAGAAATATATATATATATATATATATTATAAATCAAAGATGAAACTTTCTTTCTGTGAACCTCAGCTAAAACGACGAACGCCTCTTTCACAAATTAGCAAAACGCTAAAGACATATCTTTCACAATGTTGCAGAATTTGTCTGTAGAGAGTACCACACTACTAGTAAAAGCAGAGAGTATTTGTCACTTTCTCAAGCAAGCAATCCGTCTCGTTAACACCCCGCCACTCATTGATATTGTTTTCTCCACTTCCTAGAGAGAGCGGCCACAAGCAATAAATTTCTCTATACACGATCCAGATGGAACAAATGCGATAATTTCTTTTACTTTAATATTCAATCCTGTGACAACACTTCATTACAGCTACAAGCTTCACCCTTTTCTAGTTCCCTTAATAACAATTCCATCATTTTCTTATACATTGGCATATAGTGATCATTAATCATTGTTCTTGAAAGTCGAATCTTACTATAAAGTTCTCTAGGTGTCTCGTATATACCTAGATGTTCTTCATTGGGGAGTGCGTCAGGATCTAGATTAGTGGCTTCAGTTGAAGGTCCAGAAACCATATGCATGATTCTCCCCGGGGGATAGAACCGGAGGTTCTCTGAAACATCCAAGGAAGAGATGGGGTTTTCGCTTCCTGCATCAGCCAGAACTTTCTCCTCCTCTGTTATTTCTTTTGCCGCTGCTGCTTCTTCTGCCTGGGCTTGGAGATCAACTTCACTCTTCTGCCTCTCAAGCTCCTTCTCTAGTTCATACCACAACTCCCCTTCGGTAATCTCATCCATGGTGGTTGTAGTCATTACTCTATTCCTTGCAATCAGAGGCTCATCTTCGTCTGTGTCGTCATGCCCCAATCCACCATGTGAATTATTTTCCAATTCATTTTGTACTTGGTCTGTAATTACCACTTTAGTCACAAGGGTTTCACAATTTCTTTCAGTAATTACTGAAGCTTCTGGCAAATCCTCCTCCTTGGAGTTCAATGTTGGGACCACATTACGACGTCGGGGACCCATGCATGACCATGCAGATAGAGTTGAACGGCTTCTTACAACAGCTTGAGCAACATTCTGGGCACCCTTCATCACAACCTACAGTTTACAAACAAACAATTCCTAATCATAATCCTAACTGGAGCACCAAATGAAACAAAAGAATAGAACACACATGCAGAATTTTTGTTGTCAGTAAGTACATGAGTACTTAAAAACTCAAGCTAAAGGGTCAAAACATCCCTTCAGCCCACATACACTTCTGGTTAGAATTTAAAACCCCTTCAGCGCATGAATACACTTCTGGTTAGAATTTAACATCCCTTTAGTTCACACACTTCTTGTTAGAATTTGAAAACCAATTAAAAATTACTCAATAAACAATTTGGAACAGTCTGATAGTAGAGGGAAGTCAATCATCAATGCTGCAGATGAATACCTTAGTACTGCTTGAAACAGGACGTAGAAGTGCTCCAGCACCAGCAACTCTTGCCTTTGCACTAGCAATAGATGGCAGCCTGGAGCCCAGTGCTGTTGCAGAACGAAAAACAACACTCAAGACCCGAGTTTGTTGAACCTGATCCCGCAAATCATTTAGCCAAGATGATGCTGTGACCTGATAACAACAATTGTGAGTAACAGTATTTAAAGAATAAACAAATCTATCAGACAATGATTCTTTCGTTAGGAGAAAGATATTTGGCACCTCAGAACGAAGGTCATCAACAGAAGTAGCTGAGAAAGTAGGCACAAGGTCGGATCCGTTGATAATAGTCGTAATGAAGTGCTTGCCTGATTCTGCTAAATCCCATGTCATACAGGCAGCTGCAAAATGTGGCAAGATTCAGTACAAACTCTTTCGTGAAAGGCATGCCTTGAGCAGGTGAAAACCATGACATTACTGCATTGTTGTATCTATCTCCATTCTTTATCTCTTGCAGCACAACAAAATTAAAAGTAGTGGTACTAGTGAAAGTAGAAGTTCATGTGGACATTATTGACAGTTTGACAAAAGACCTTGGCTAAGAATAGGAATTGTATGAAAAAGCACACTGCCATGGAATAAGATCGGCTGACCCATGATATGTAATTAAGCAAATTGACACTTCTTAATTAAGAACATTCCAGTCAATTTAACTTAAATGCTTATGTTGAGTTATCCTTCAGTAAATTTGCAGAAATACAAAACAATGACCAAAGAAAATAAAAGAAGATTCCATATCCTTAAAGATCCTTACCTGGGGCAAAAGTAACACAAGCACTAGAGGAGAATTCTTTTTGTTCACGAATAATGTATGTTAACAGCGCAGCAGTGCCACCACCAAGTGAATGCCCAACAATCTGAAACCAGACCAGAAATGGGGCACACACACAACTTTAACAATCCTGTGTATCAGCTTAATAAATTCAATGTGACACCACTTGGAAAAAAATGAATGGTCATGCTCAGAGGCAGCAAATTAAGAAAGTTCAAGAAAAGCAATTTAATTACATTCAAACCCCATCTTGGAATTAGAAATGCATAATTCATCACAAAGAAGTGGAGAAAACTTGACATGTTTTTGCAACAAGACAAGATGTTACTAGCAGAGAATATTGCTTTAAATTGAAGAAACATAACAATTACCTTAATTTTATAGTCAGGATATTTACCAAGAGCATCAAGAAGGCATGGAGCACTAAGCTTTGCAATCCAACGGGCTGCAGCAACCATTCCACAGTGTGCATATCCTAAAACTAAATTGCTGATCCCACCATCATGTAAAACCAAATGATGGAAAGGAACCACAGCACCAGTTGCTGCTGTTAGTGTATCTTTGATGCCGTGAGTACCACGAATCAATAGAAGGAAACACTTTGAACTGTTATCACGGATGATTGTGAAAGCAGGCTTCAGAAGCTGCAATATTTAGAAAATAAAACGAATAAACAAATATGACACAATCACATTGCTTTATTATATAAATTAGATTAGATTTAAAGACAACATGCAGCACAGTTATATGTAGGTTCAATGTGGAAGTCCTATTGATATGGGATGACTTTGAAGACACTTTCTTGAATTCTAACTTTTTACATAAGTGTGATGAGCACAAGGTATTTTATGGTTTCCTTGGTTTTTTCTTTCCCTCCACACCTAAGTGTCATGGATGTTTTACCCAGTTTTGAAGTTAACATTATTCATTGAGTGCTTCTCTCTCATTTCATTTTCTTTTGGGTGATGATATTCCCTGGCAGAATACTTCAACGTGCTCACATCAAAACTCCTCATAAAGAAAACTGTTAAAAAATGTTACAGAGAACAACAATCGTAAAGAGCATCAGGAAAGCTGCTCAATAACAGATGTGATCCCAACGCAAAGATAAATCAGAAGAGTAAATGAGAAACCACAAAATAGTGCATGAATCATAGACTTCTGCAAAACTGCAACCATGGCCCAATTTTTGTTCATACACTTTCTAACAATTTTGTCCTTTCTTTAGCTAAAAACCACAAATGACCCTGTAGAGTTACCTACCCCTGCTTTGGGCTTCTGAAGAAGAACATCATCCTTGGAGTAACCAGCAGATTCTAAAAACACCGGAAATGGCTTCTTTGAGAAAAGCATGCAAAGAGTCAGCAACCTCAGGAGGCTATTCAACTCTCCGATAATTTCAGGTCCATTCAGCTCCACAGAATTATTTCCGGCATACACACTGGCAACTTGTAAATTTCCCTGCAAGAAATAAACACAATTTAACCCCACAAGCAGACCAAGCCAAAGTTGCTTCAGTGAATTATACCATCAAACCAGGATAGAGACAACGAAAACTACTTTCCAAAAACAAATAAATTGATTGGTAACAAATATTAAACTTTTCAAGAAAAAAGCAGCTCACAGAATTGCAGTGACTGCCAAAGGCAATAAAAACAGCCTACAACATGACCTTCTGTAAGCTTAAACAAGTACAGCTGAGTTAATCGGTGCGAGTGTTGATTACAAATCAATCAACTAAATGAACAATATTCAACCTTTCATAAGGTAGAAAATTCAGAACAACCCTATGATGTGATGAATTAAAGCATAAAAAACACTAACCTGCCTCCGCATGAGATAATTGATGCCGAAAGCCAAGTCACCAATCGGCCATTTCCCAAGAGTCTCCGAATACGTGAACCTCAACGTCTCAGATATCGTAGCCAAGGCCTCAAACCACGTCGCCGGAGCCTGAGCAGGCCGCCTCGCAATCCTCCTCTTCAACGATCTGCTAGATTTCGTCAACCCATCCTCCCCCTCCTCCTCCCCACCTCCTTTCACCGCCAATCTCCTACTCCATATATAGTACAGTATCACCGCAGCCCCCGCCGCTGTCGCCATTGTCCCCGCCGCCATGATATCAGATCTCCCAAAACAATCAGATCGGAACCGCCAAAAACACAATCAATCAGAGAAATCGAAATTCTACATTCGAAAACACTGCAAAATAACAAATTTATTCATAATTGAAGAAAGAAATTTGGAGAAATTGGGCGATTCGTGAGGAGTTGCAGAGGGAGACGTGTTGGTTTTGGGGATGGTGAACAAAGAAAGATATGGTGAAAAGTGAAACTACTAAAAAGGACAGCATCTGTTCGGAAATTAACGAGAGAAGTAACAGGACGGAAACAGAACGGAGTAGGGTAGTTTTGTCATTTGGTAATAGTACGCGTCGAGATTGAGCCCTGGAACGAATGTAGATAGGAGAGTGCGTACGTTAAGCATCTATCGGGGAGGTTGTAACTGCGCAGCTGCGGAGGAAAAGACAGAAAATATATATATATATATATATATTTTCCAAGTCCCTCGTAATCTAACAATTACATTGTCTTTCGATTCATTTACGATCGAATTTGATCGGACTCTT